AGTTTCAAAAGTATATGTCTTACAAAACTTAAGCTAATAGATATGTTCAGATAAATTAATCGAAATAAATATTTAATCTCATTGTCCTTTTTATTTGTTATTTTATTTAAATATTAGTTTAATTGTTTATTTATATATGTTCAAATGAAAGTAACTTTAAGTAGGCTAATAAGTTAATCGTTCTTTCGAAAAAGTCAAACTCATACCTAAAACTAAGTCTTTGACAAGCTATACCTTAGACTTTGATTTTGAATTTTTTAGTAGTTTGGGCTTAAATTTGGCAAAGTCTTACTCGATTCAAACTATTTTCACTCCTTAATCATGACTATTTCCACCCCTTAATCGTGAGCGAAAAAATATATCTTGCAAAGAAATTATGTTATGACCAGACGTGAAACGTTCCCTAGTTTTCAGCTATTGTAGGCTAATCTTGGCTTGCAAAGAGCTATTGAACTATTGAACATGTACTAGATGGTTCAATAGAAAAACTCTAATCGAAAAGAGTATGTACAACATTCACCCGAAGAATAACATATGCAAGAGATGGCTTCGCACAAAACTACCGCCCTTGAGGCAAGAAGGGATCCATAAGAGGTCCAAAAATCTCCAAGTCGTCGACAACATAGACGTCACACTCCTTTCCCTGATCCCGTATGAGGAAGGTGTAGTCGCACTCCTCTCAAAGCTTACTGCCCAAGGAGGAGAGAAAGGTATGAAAAAGATGATTCCACTCATTCGCAGAAGAAGAACCCCTTATATGCTCGTATCCTAAACACTAGGAATCCGAAGTCACTAGAGAAGCCTATGAAACTCTAGAATTATAAAGAATTGGCTATTCATATTAGCATGTCGAGCATGTAGATAACCAATTAGACTATTACCACATCGACAGAGATGTAAAGTGAAAGTTCTTTGCATTAACCCTAATTGAGTCGACCCTAGCTTGGTACAGGTCCCTCCTTAATGGGAGCATATATTTATGGTTTGATATATGTGAAACTTTTATCGCTTATTTCACCACCAAGAAGAGGCAGCCACATATCATGGTTGTGCTAACCAAAATCAGTCAAGGTAAAATGGAAACCTTGGGTGGCTATATTGACTGTTTCATAAAGGTGGCATTGGTTGTCAAAGGTTCAGATGAGAGTCTGAAATGTTAGATTTTCGAGAACAACCTTAGATCCTGCTCTGCATTTCGGGGAAAGCTATAGTGCAAGGAGGTATAAAGTTTGGAGAATTGTTGAGTAAGGCACAACTTTACATCAACTATGAAGAAAAACAACTGGCTGGCGGAGGCGGCCTAGTGCTAGGGAATGCAGGGTTTAGTCGGCTATTAGATAAAGTGTTTGGGCAATCCAAGAAAAAGAACGAGCGTATACCACGCCCAAGGTTTAAATTATACACTTCCTTGAAGACTTTAAGTGAGAGAATATTAAAGGAGTGGGCCAAATATTAGGAGGCCAAGATAAATATCATATATTCGTTCAGGGAATCTACAATGACTGACAAGTCCAAATACATTTGTTTCCATAGGAGCCAGGACCACAACACCAACAATTACATCCAACTAGAGGATGCAACTGAAGGGCTCATCAAGATTGAATGGTTGTTAGAGTACACTAAAGAGGACAAAATGAGTCGAGAGGATTCCCCTAAGGAGGAAGCAATCCCCTAAGAAAATTGTTGAAGGTGTTCCCGGAACAATGGCAAGAAGGTGAGTAATGGAAAAGATAACAGACACAAAGGGAAAGCCATTACATTGCTTCCACTACATGATGGACCCCAAAAGTAAGCAATCCATCCAAGAGTATGATAAAGAGAAATATCACAAAGTTGATGGTCGTTAGCAAGAAGGAATGGAATACCTCAACCAATAGCCCAGAGTGACATATCCTTGGATTCCGGGATAGCGAGGAGGTTGGGGGAATTCCTAACAAGATATTTACTTTGGTTATATTGGTCATAATCTTCAACCTCGACGTATCCATGATATTGATCGAAGACAGAATTTACTACAATATTATGTACTCAGATCTCTTAGAGAAGATGAGATTGAAAAAGAAAAATTATGGTCTTATGAAGGGTCCATTCTGTAGGCTTTTAACATCAATGAAACCCGCTTGTGGGGTAGACCCTAGGTTGGCCCTTCGCAACAACTTTGAATGTAGTGGCTTTCAGAGTTCACCTCTGAATGTGGTAGACCCTAATATGCCAAAATTCACCCAATCTCCAGAAATATCCTTTCTAGAATTCGTGTTTGATATTGACATTATCACCATGATTAAAATATATATTGTTAACATAATTAGTGTATGGACAATAAATTTTGAGCGACCCTGTCTTGAAATCCCTAACGAGAAAATCTTTGAGCAAATAAAGACCTTGGCTTCGAGCTCAGAAGAAAGGATCGACGCGACATGAAAATCCAACAACAACAAGAGCAATGATTGGTTTTAATTCAACACCAAAACGAAACACTCATATGGAAGAACGATAGAGGAAATAAAAACACTTTCTTCATATATAACTTGCAACATAAAAGGCAAGAGGGTATTTCAAAAATACTTTATGCTTTCAAGCACCTAAAATCGTGTGATCCACTACGTACTACTAACGGTCAGAAGCATTCAAGAACATTAAAGAAGGAGAAACATCATTGCTAACTAACGAGTTAAGATGTGTCAAGCACTCCCAGTGCCACTTTGCGACTCTCGGGGTAGACATCTAATGCGCTCATTCCTGATACTAACGATGTTCTGTCTGAGATTTTCACGACTTAAAATCCTGTGGTCAAGTAACAATACACACCACAAATCCTTGTCATGCAAAACAGAGATAAGGGATTGAGGAGTAACTGTTCTAGGTCGCCCGTGAGACTTAGAAGGTGAAGGACCAATTATGAGGCATAAAGTTGCTACATGAGGAACAAGTACTCTTTTTCCTCCCCACTATGTAGAATACCCTTCACAAGGATGTCATGCTAGCGACTGACTGCATCCCACATCGTTCCATGCGTGTGTAGTTAGTTACAATTATTTAAAGATAAAAATGTGCCACCATACCGATATTCAAATCTTTTACCACAAAAACTTCATTTCTTATTCTTTTACTAATTTGAGCGTTAAAGTATTAATATTATTCAGCCTCCCTCCCCAACTCCCCTCCACCACATTAAAAACATTAAATCATTGCAATAGATTATGAATTCATTCTCTTGAATAACCACCTAATTCCAAATCATAACAACCTCAAACATCAAATTAACAACCATAAAATATGCTAGACTTCCATGTTATTAGTTACTAAAAGACAAATAAACATAATTTGTTAGATTTTGTTCAAGAAAATAATTTATTTTTTAAATAGTTATTTACTACTAATAATTTTTATTGTTAGGTGGGAAGAATATTTATTTAATTTAAAACATTAAACAGTCCTTTTTAATTAAATTATAAATAGTTTACTTAAAACCCTTCTACTACTATATTTTAACGCAAATGGATTATTCAATTTGTAGAGATAAACGGAGTACAATAAAGGCATAAATAAACAAAATTAAGCATATTCTGTCAGAGTCTTTTATGGGAGACTTCGTTTGGTGAGAAAGAGAAAGAGGGCAGAGATTTTCGCTTTTTCACTTTTTTTCCTTTTACTTTTGCAGCAGTTAAAAAGGTTTTAAGATAAAAAATAAAAATAAATAAATACATTTATTATTGATTTATATCACCAATAATGATTTATTGTCCCCATCCCATCCTCCTTTATTTTTCTTTTTCATTTGGTTTGTTTGTTCACAAGTTCCCCAATGTTCACGAAATTCGAGATACCACGAGCCTTCTTCTTTCATCCACATCTTCATCCTTCATTTTAATTAGACCTCGCCGTATCAAAACAAATTTCCCAAATTATTTTACAAATTAAAAAATTTAATATCCCACTTTACAATCAAATAATTTTTGTTTAAAGACAGAAAATTTTCTATGAATTGATCTACTACACAAATTAATTACACCTAACAAAATTCAAACTTAAAACCTTAAAACTTAAAACCTTAAAAAAAACACGTTTGATTCTATCGTCATTGTCTACTTGGAGAAATTCCATTTCAAGTCGGAACAAAGTATTGTCACAAGATTTAAATTAAAAATTTTAAGAGAAGCACATGAAATTTTGAGAGGAGTAAATAGTTGAATATTTTCTAGAAAAATTAAAGTTAAAAAAATAGAGTCACTAACTTAAACAATTAATCCAAGGTTCATTAAAAGATGAGAAAAACTTAAGAAAGGAAAGTTTCATCCTCTTTTGTCTCCCTTAAAGCGACCAAAGCATTGTAAGTTGAAGTAACTCCTCAATGCAAAAAGATTAATTAAATTTTGTAAGGTGGGAAGAATAACTCCTCTCTGCACTTTCTCAGTTAAACTAGTACTGATAAATAAATTAAGAAAAAAAGAGTAATTGTTGTTCAAATCAAGGCCATTAATTATAAAATAATAATAAAATCCTCATCAATGTGATCATAGCAGTAGCAGAGTACTACTGACATTTGGGAAATCGAAGCAAGAGAATCTCTTAACCATGCATGCAACCTCAGGTGTTTTTCCGTGTTTTCTAAACTTCACGCATTTTTTATTTATTATTTTAATCCATTTCCTAAGTACTAAAGTTTAAAGCATTTAAATGAAATAGTTCGAGTTAAACTTTAAGATAATACTAAATTTTTTATTTTTTAACTATTTTATTTTATTACAGAGAATATAGTACTCCTTCTTACATTGTGTCCAAAACGCCAAAAGAAAAGGAAAAAAAGAAAAAGTTGCTTCTTACAGAGATTTTTCCTTGTAAAACAAAAAAACAAGGACATGAAAACCAAAAATATTTCAAATGAAAAAATAAAATAAAAGAGCCTTATCAGAAATGTCCTCTTTATATTTTTAATTTTTAATTTTTAATTCAGGATTCAAAAAAGAAATTAAAAAAAAAAAACTGAACAAAATTTTGTTCTACGGTTTCTCCTTGAGCAGAGAGGCTAATCCGGTCACAACCTTCGTTCCTCTTTCAACACTCTTCGGTTTCACCGCCGGCAACTGCCACGCTGGACTCACCGTAACTACTTCCTCCGGCGACGCTTTCACTTCACCGAAAATCAGCTCCAATTCACCAGAATCGCTATTAGCCTCTTGCGTCGGTGTTTCTTGAGCCGCCGCATCGGCGACTTGCTTTGACCTAGCAGCAGAGGGAGATATCCATTTCGCAAGCATGTAATCACGCTTCCTCCACGGCGGAACATGCATCCCTTTCTTCTTCAAACTCTGTTTCGCGGCCTCCGATACGATGGACACGATCTGCTTCAGCCGTTCCTTTTTCCCAACGAAGATGTACGGTAGCGATTGAAGTATTGTCTTGTAGGTTCCGGTAGATCGTGCGATCTCAAACTCCGATCGAAAATCGATGTCGATTATCAGCGCTTCACCTTCCACAATCGCATCAATGAATTGATATTCACCTAAACAAGACCGAACCGAAAAACGAGTCAGTAAACCGTAAACGAGTCATTGAGTCAGAATGAGTCAATTTCGAATCCGATTAGTAGATTAGGAGAGTTTAATTACCAGAAGGACAAGAAGAAGTTTTCTCCCATTTCGATTTGCAAATTGAAGAATCGTATCCGAGAGAGGAAAGTGCTTCTGCAACTATCTTAATCAAATCTTCTTTCCTTTTGTAAACCTTGCTATTTTTCTCAACAATCTTCGCCGCATCGGCTAATAGATTCCTTTCTTCAACAGTTACACAAGGAATCAAGCTCTACAATAATCCAAACACAGAATTAAAATTAAGATAAATTAATGAACAGAATCGAAATTGAAATTGAAATTGAAATAATGAAAATGAATTTTAATTTTACCTTGAGCGAGTCATTGGAATCCGTGACTGTTTCATGTGTAAAACCGGATAGATCGAAATCGTCCTCGTCGGAGCTACTCGCGTTGAAGCAGTTACAGCGGTTACGACCGCATCTAAGAGGTTGTGGTTGAGGTTGCGGTTGCGGTTGCGGTTGTTCCTCCATGAAACTTTGAACCATTTTCGCCAAGCAAACAGAGCTCGGTTCCAACTCAGCTCCTCCTCCACCTCCATCTTTGTTGTTGTTGTTCTTCGGAAACTGTTTCTCAAACGCGAAGAATCTCCTCAAACGCCACTTTGATACTGGTTCGTTTCGAACAAGACCAGTCACTTTCTCTGAATCTATGTCAATCGGTTGGATCTTCAATGGAGCCATTAAAACTCTCAACAACAAAAAAAATTACTCTATCTCTCTCTACGAACTACTCTTTTTGGAGCTTCAAATTTCAGAAATTCATTATCACAGTCACGAGTCAAAATTTCTAGCCAGTCAACACAGTCAATGACTCAGAGTCACAAGTTATGCATGTTCTTCACCGAAACAAAATCAAAAAGAAAAAAGAAAAAAGAGAAAAAGAAAATTAAATTATCTATGAATATGAATATATACGTGTTAATTTTTTCTAGGCTAAGAAAGTAATGATTTGATTCAGATGAGTTTCGTGGAAGACATGACGACGGTGATCGGAAAGACGAGCATTGTTTATCGACGGTGAAGTTAGCTTCGCCGGAATGTTCATATCTCCGGCGGTGGTTATGAAAAAAGATTAAAGAGAGGTTTTTTTTTCTAAATGGTTTTAGTTTTCGTACAAGAGCGTTTTGGATTAGGTGAGTGGGTGAGTTTGGGTTTTATAACTTGTAATAGCTGCTGATTTGGATTTTTGTGCCACGTGGATTCTTATGTGGCGTTCATCATTTGGGCAGTATGGTTTTGATAAAACCACCCTAGTGGTACTGTAGGCTGTTTGATTGGGGCATTTGTATTGTGACGCGTGTCCTGAATGATTGTTTCTTCGCAGGGTTGAAATTACAATGGGACCCTTATTTGTTTCGTCGGGTAGTGGTTGTTTGTATGAAACTATGGATGGATTATGGAATATCAAAAACCATCCATACTCTGTTGGGACAGTGGGCTTTATTGATTGGATGATAATTTGTCGTTTTTACAATACATGAATTATTTGAGTTTTTTCACACAATTTAAGAAAACAATTATAAATAAGAAATAGTTTTACTTATGTCATAATTTTAAAATATGTATTTATTTTTACAACAAATATAAATAAAAATATATTTAATTAAAAATTGTGAATGCAACATTAATTAAATAGTAAAATTAAAAATATAATTATTGATCTAAAAATAAAAAGACTCAATTATTCTAGAAATTTCTTTTTTATCAACATTTGTTAACATTATTATTTACTAGCGTCCAGACGTACGTCTGTCTGCTTTTTATAATATCACACGCATAAAATATAAATCACATTATTATTTTTATTTTATTTTTTATTATTTATAAAATAGTAGTACTAGATAATGATGTAAACGTTAATAAATTGTCACATAATCACCATTTTTTTTTAAAAGTTAAAATTTAAAATAAAAATTGAAAAAAAAATATATAAAAGAAAAAAGGCTACACCAAAATCATGCATTTATATATAAGTATAGATAAAGTCGATGACTTATCTTGAGTTAAACGCGTGCAATCTATTGGTCACTGTATATAATATGGTTAAGATTGTTAAACTTACTTTTGTTATTGATAGAACAATTATTTATACAAGTGAAATAACTTGGATTTCAAGAAAACAATTACTCCTTCTCGTCATACGTATAATAAAATTGAATTTTTAATTTATTAAATAATCAATATATTTTGTTCATAATACATTTTAGATACATTAATTATTCAATGAATCTAAAAAATAAATTTTCTCTTATAAATAGGATCAAAGGTAGAATTTAGAAGACACCAAACAAAATATAATTATTGTAACTACCATAATGACATAAAAAAGTTATAACATAAACCAAAAATCCTTATAATTTAACAATACTTCATTATGGTCTCTCAAGTTGGACTATAATTCCTCGAAATTCTAAGATTTGATAAAATTATCGAAAATTGTAATGGATTAAATGACTTTATCATGATGTTTGGTAATAGTGCAAAACTTGAAATAGGTAATAATGGAAACAGGTATGGATGTCCTTGAGAGAGAGTATGGTCAAATGTTCATGGTGTTGCATCCTTGAGAGGGGGAAGCGAGAGAATGATTTCAGATATACCTATTGTGTGTGAGTTTCCTGAAGTATCCCCAGATGACATTTGTGATTTGTCGCTAGAGCATGAGGTGGAGTTTGCTATATACTTTGTACCTGGTACTAGTCATGTGTCAATGACTCCTTATATGATGTCTGCTTTAGAGTTGAGTGAGCTAAAGAAACAATTAGAGGATCTACTTAAGAAGAAGTTTGTTCAAACTAGTGTTTCACCGTGGGAAGCATCGATGTTGTTAGTAAAGAAAAAGATGATAGCATTAGGTTGTGTATTGACTATCAACAACCAAACATTGATACTATCAAGAAAAAGTATCCTTTTCTAAGAATTGATGATCTGATGTATCAGTTGGCTGATGCTTGCGTATCAGTAAGATTGATTTACATTCTGGTTATCATCAAATTCATGTGAAGTCAGATGATATTCCAAAGATTGCGTTTAGAATGAGATATGGGCACTATAAGTATTCTGTGATGCCATTTGTTGTGTCTAATGCGCCCGGAGTCTTCATGGAGTATTATGAATAGAATATTTCATCCGTACTTAGATCAGTTTGTGTGTTGTGTTCATCGATGCTATTTTTAATTTATTCTGTTTGATGAAGAGCATGCAGAGCATCTGAAATTTGTGTTGCAGACCTTGAAAGAAAATAAGATATATGTGAAGTTATCTAAGTGTGAGTTTTGGATGAAATAAGTGATTTTCCTTGGTCATGTGATATCTAGCGGTGGTATCACAGTGGATCCATCAAAGGTAGATGTAGTGTTGCAATAGGAGACTTCGAAGGCTGTTACAAAGATCAGAAGCTTTATGGGCTTGGCTGGTTACTACAATAGGTTTATCGAAGGCTATTTGAAGTTAACACTGCCTTTGAATCAATTGACTCGAAAGGGCTAAGCGTATGTGTGAAATGTTCAGTGTGAAGAGATTTTTCAAGAACTCAAGAAGAAGCTAACATCAGCTCAAGTTTTGATTTTTCCAAGTCCAAGTGAATCCTTTGTTGTGTATTATGATGATTCAAAGATGGGTCTAGGTGGTGTGTAGATGCAGAATAGTCAAGTTGTGGCTTATGTTTTAAGCCGATTGAAAGTTCATGAGAGGAATTATCCTACACATGATCTAGAGTTGGAACTCATGGTGTTTGTGTTTAAAATTTGTAGACATTATCTGTTTGGTTCCAGATTTGAAGTGCTCAGTGACCACAAGAGTTTGAAGTACTTGTTCGATCAGAAAGAGTAGAATATGAGGTAGAGAAGGTGGCTCAAGTTTTTGAAGTATTATGAGTTTGGTTTGAGTTGTTGTCATACCCCAAAATTTACTCCTTAGATGTCATCATCATTTGCACAAGCATATTAGGTCAAGCATCCTTATATAACTAACCAAATCATCAAGCTTTGTGGTTTTGTTTATTTTGTTGAATTAGGGTTTATGGAAAAAAGAGGAAACCCTGATTAATCATGAGTTGAGTGGGAAATGAACCAATGAGGTCCTCTTACATTTTATGGGTCCCAAAGAGGTCATTTGGTCCAAAGAAATCCAATTCAAAGGTTTCCTAAGTGGATAGGAGAGACATTGACTTCATCTGATGCAAAAGTCAACTAAGGCATCACAAGAGTCAACTCTTGAGTTTTGTGGTCAGCCATAAAATTTACAAGTCTTAGTCTATGATCTCATGTATTTAGATCATCAAAAGTCAAGTTGGAACAATAAAATCATGGGATTTATAACATTAGGGTTTTATGGTGAAGTCAAAAAGTCAGCATTTGGAGTGATTTTTCAGGGTCAAGTTCAAGATTGTTCCAAGCATAATTTGTCTCGGCCATCAACATGAAAGTTTTATATTATCTCTTTAGATTTGTTTTGATACCAATAACTCCTCAAGAACTTTCTTAGAACTCAAGTTATGATGTTTTCAAGTGGAGGTCAAAGTAGGGCAAAACTTAGGGCAACATTTTACAAGAACTTCCAACCAAGGCTTTATGGGTTTCTTGACTTCAAATCAAAATCCATCCAACATGAAAGTTATTACCCTTGATCCAAGCTTTCCAAGCATATAAAGAAGTCCTCAATTGGATCAAGGAGTGAAAAGTTATGGCATCACAAAGTTTGTTGATTTTGGGCACAAGTTAGGCAACTTATCTTAGTTGCCAAGGCGTCTCAAAGTCATGTTTTTGCTCAACTTACAAGTCTTCTTTTTTATAGTTCCAAGCTTAAAATCCAAAGGCTTACAACATCAAAGTTTTTCTTTCTCCATCTCAACTTTCTAAGCATATAAAGAACTCCCCAATTAGATTCCTACAACTCAAGATATGGTGAGATGAACATGGGTGCCAACACTTGACAAAAGTTGCCCAAGTCATGACCAGGTCATGTGCAGGCTTGCCTAAACTAACTTGTTTGACCAGCTTTCATCATGATGCAACCTCAAATCAAAAATTTTAAAACATGAAAGTTGTTCATCTACATGTCCTCTTTTCAAAAAGCACAAGACTTCACCATTTGAGTCTAAAAACAAAGAGTTATGATGTGCCAAAGAGACCTTGCAGCCATGTTTACACTTTTCCAAGTTTGCATAGGCCACGACCAGATTTCGTGCCATGTCATGAACATTTTTCCCAATATCTAAGATGCCTTTTCTTGTGTACCTACCTCTGCAAATCCCACTCCTCAAACATTACCTCATTTGGCTTCCTTTTGTGTGGCATACACAAGGAATTGTAGAGCTTTTCATGAAAACATGAAACCATCAAACTTGGTCTAGACTTACATGCTAATGTCTCTGACCACAACATAACAAGGATCCACTGCCCAACAAGTTCTACACATTGACATAGCTCGAGCCATCACCATCAGAGGAGAACTTTTCACTTTTGGCTCTAAACGCATCATTTCAAAAACTAAGAAAATCTAGCATGCCAAGGGATAAGAAGGAAGGATGAGGACCACACAATAGTCGAGCCAGTAGTAAACATGATCGATACAGACCCTTGGAAATTATACTTCGACGGGTCGAGTCATAAAAATGTAACTGGTGTTAGAGTCCAAATAGTATCCCCAAAAGGGATTCTAACTCAGTTTAAATGCCACAT